TGCACGAACTTCCACCATTAGGGTTCCATCTTCCCTGGAAGCCCTGTGGCTTCCAATTAGTTACAGGACGTTACCACTTAAAAGGATTAGCCTTTGAGAGGAGGGAGGGGAGCAGATGTCTGCCAAGTGTTCTTCAAGGTCTGAGGCAAATCCAGATCCTCAGCACTGTGCTGCCTCCTAGTTCTATGGGAAATGGTTCCACGTGGCCATGGGCTCCACCTGCCCATGGCTGTTGAAGCTCAAGGACAGGCTGACCATAAGCACACTGGAGCTGAAAAGAGGACCGACGGAGAGGCAGATCAGCACGACCAGCACCCGTTGGAGGTGAGCTTGGGGATGGAGTGGGAGGGGCAAGAGGGACAAGGGACCGGGTGGGGCCTGCCCACCAACCCACCCTGGCTTCAGTCACCACCCTGTCCTGGAAAGTTACAGACCTCTACTTCCAGGCAGGCCTTCTTCCCCTCTGAGCTTCGGGTCTCTGTTCCGCTCCAGTAGGGCATCCCTTTCTAATCATCCCACCGCATCTAGCGGGCAATGCCCCCTACACTATGCCTGTTTTCCAAGCTTCTCCTTGGTGCTCCTTGGGCATCCTTTAGCTCAATTAGGGCACTTCTACATGCCAGGGACCCAACCGGGAAACCTGGGCAAAAGTAGGTGGCCTAGAATCCTCTGGTGCCTTGAGCCATTCAATCCATCGCCAAGCCCCATCCATCCCCTTCCCAAATCCCTCCAATCTGTTCACGTCTCCCCTCTTCCCCACCACCACCTTGGTCCAAGCCACTTTCTTTCTTTTCTGGTTGTCTACAGTAGCCTCCCTACATTTCTCTACAAACCTCCTATTGAATCCATTCTTCACCCCGCAACCAGAAAGAGCGTTCGAAAATTCTAATCTGTTTAAACCTTTCCACGGCTCCCTATTGCCCTTGGAAATAAAATCCAGCCCCTTCGATGTGGCCTTCCAGGCCCCTCCTGGAACTCGCCGTTCCCTTACCCCGAGTTCAGGTTATGTGCCTTCCTTTGTGCTCTCAGAGCACCCTGTGCTCCCCTCAACACGGCACACTGACTGCCATACACCTCTGGCCTGCCCACCCATTCCACTCAGTTGTAGGTTCCATGAAGGGACAGGGCCTGTCTTGCCTAACATGTAGCACAGTGCCTGGCATGTAGAGGCTGCTCAGTAAATGTTCATAACATAAATAACAATCATCACAACAAGAGCTAAAATATGCATAGCGCTTACTCTAAGCTCTTTACAGGTAAGGTCTCATTTGACCCTCACAGCCACGATGTGAGGTAGAAACTGTCATTATCCCCATTTCACAGATGAAGAAACTGGGCAAGAGACACAGAGTAATAAGTGAATTATCACGTTAACTTGGCACTCTGATTCCCCAGTGCATCAGTATAACGTGCAGATTTGGTTAAAGAAGCTGATTCTTAGGGCTGGATTTGTCAAGGATGGCATAGATTAGTCCCTTTTTTCTCTGTCCCTCTGTTCCCTCTTATGTGAAATGGGTGTCTCCCGGGGCTGATGTGAGGCTTAAAAAAGATATTTAAAATTGTTACCTTCCAAATTAAAAACAAACAAATAAACAAACAAAAAACAAGACGTTTGGGAAGGACCCAGTGAGAGAGTGGGGTGTCAGGACCAGAATTCCACTTTCTTTTGGTTTGTTCATTTCCAGAAAAGGCGTCTGTGAGGAGATCTCTGGGACTTATGAGAAAACAGACATCGATGGAAAGTTCCTCTATCGCAAATCTAGTAAGTTAATGCGAAGAAGACATCCACAGTTCTCTCCTTTGCTAAAAAATACCTTTATGTCTTAAGCTTTCTTTCTTTCCGTCTTCGCTCTCTCTGCCTGTATAACCTTTCCTCCCATTGTTTTCTGAGATGTCATTTAGCCTTCCTCCAAAATTCCTCCTCTTTTTCCTCCTATGCATCCTCCTTATTCTTTCTCTCCCTCCCACCCCCATGTGCTCATGCTCGTGAACAACCAGAATTATAATGATGGTGTGAATGCTGAGGATAACATCCAGATTTCATTCGTCTTCATGTTAGGCATCTGTAATCAGCTGATAAAATCTTGCTAAGCATCTACTATGTACAGTGTGTATGGTGCTAAGTGATAGAAGGACTTGGACATGAATTTATTCATTTATCCAGCAAATGTTTGTTGAATATGCTCTATATGTCAAATAATCGTGTTAGGAGTTGAATATATGAATGTTTGGGTAGACAGTTGGATAAATTATTGAGAGAATAAACAAATGATTGATAAATGAATATATGTATGGATGGCAGATAAGTGAGTTAGTTAATCAATCATCTATGAGATAAATTGATGGT